AGCCTTATGAAAATGGCCCTGGACCAGACGGCAGAGGCCAATACACCCATAAAGTTTACCATGTTGGCAGCCATTTACCAGGTATGTAGGAGAAAAACTGAAGGCTAAGTGGATTGAGGTTTTACAATACAGTATTAGTTTTAACATACAGAATTGTTATATAGTGTTAGATATATAGTGAAGATCCACTTTGATCTCTCATTCTTGGTATGTGCTTTTGGATGTGGTTAAACAATATTGTTATTGGACATTTTTTATATGGAGTCAGCACAATACAATATTTACTCACAATTTCCTGTCTGTTCCTCATCATAAGTAGATTTATCTTATACACTAAAGTGGTTTTGATGGAGAGATCCAAATATCATGGACTGATAATTTAAAGTACAGTGTTCCACTTACTAAATTTCTGTCTTTAATGAATGAAAAATTATATAATGGAGAATTGGAACTTAACTTATCAAGAAAAATGGATAAAGAATTAAATGAAGACTGAGCCTTTTTTTTTTGTTTGTTTGTTTGTTTGTTTGTTTCCACTCTTTCCTCCCACCTAAAGTCCTCTTTGCTTCAGTGAATATTGGTGGTGAGTGGAATTAATTTTATCCCTCGTTCCAGGGTGGCTGAAATCCCTCATCCCAAAGTCAGCCCTGTCGGTAGAAGAGGAGGCATGGAACGCTTATCCCTATACCAAGACTCGCTTCACATGTCCCTTTGTGGAGAAATTTAGCATGGAAGTGGAGACTTACTACTTCAACGATGGGGGGCACCAAGAGAATGTCTTCAAGCTCTCCAATTCAGAGATGAAACAGAGGGAAGTTGGTAAGGGAAAGAGATCATTTCCATGAAAATCTTAGAATAGATTGATATTTTGAAAAGTTATAGGAGTATTTGGATTATGTGTGCTTTTTCCTGTTTGTTCTCAGGTTATATAGATTTTGCAGAAGAACAGTTATAGCTATAGATTTAGATTTTTTAATAATCATAAGATATATTTCTCTTATGATTAATCATTAATTCTCCCTGGTGAACAGTATTCAACACCCATTCTTGTTGTGGTTTCTATTTAAGATCTCATTGATGTTGTGCGAGACCAGTTGTATGGAGCTGACTACAAGGAGGAAGAAGATCCCCGTAAATATGTGTCACAAAAGACCAGTCGTGGACCCTTAGGAGATAATTGGATTAATGAGTACTGGGAAATGTGCAAGGTAATTATGCTGTTTATGATGGATGAGGACATGGCGAGTTGGGGTTTATTTTTATCAGTATTGTTATAGCCTGATAGTAGCCTGTTATCCCATTTTATAATTATTAAGTCAGTGCATTATTTTTTATTTCTTAGGAAACTTTCAAGATGTTAGTTACAAGTGCGGTGTAAGCCATGACAACAAAGGCTTTTGTTGTACAAAATACAAGTTTTTTTTTTTTTTTTTTTTTTTTTTTTTTTTTTTTTTTTTTTTTGAGAAATGACAAATGCCTGCCTTTTTAGGATAGGAAGCCTTGCATGAAGGCACAACATGATATACAAAATTTGTTTTTCTTCTTGTCTGGTGGTTAATAGGCTTAGCAGCAGAGACACTTTTGGTGTTGCACAGTAAAAGTTGTTGAAAGCTGTAAAATTTCAGGAAGCTGTGTAGTAGAGCAACTTAGATTAACAAAGAAAAGAAAAGTGGGAAAATATATGAGATATTTACCCTTTTTTCAGAATGATTTGATGGTTATCCTTTTAGGATTGTGGGTATACTTTCTGCCCATATATATATATATATATTTTTTTTTTTCTTTTCTTTTTTAGAGAAGGATATGATAGAGTGAATAAGTAAAAGACAAAGATATAGATGAAAAAAAGGGAACAAAACGAAAGAAAAAAGAAGTTTATTTTGTAGGGGACAGATGGTTGGATAAAAAGAAGTGAGAGAGGGGGAATGGGTGTGAGAAAAAAGAGGAAGAACATGGAAATGGAAGAAGAAACTAATGGCAGGAAAACTTTTATTTTATCATTGGTATTATTAGTGTTATTATACATATGTGTATATGTATGTATAGATACACAGATGTATACAGTATATATATTTTTTTTATCTATATTTATATCTTTTTTGTTAGTGAAAAAGTATTGTATTTATTACTGAAAAAATATTATATTTTTCTTCCAGGATAAACCAACTCCCTTGCCTACAGGTGAGGCAATTATGTGTGCGTACAAGTTATGCAAGGTAGAATTTCGCTACTGGGGTATGCAGACAAAAATTGAAAAATTTATTCATGATGTTGGTAAGTTATTTTTTACTTGTACTATTGTTATGGTATATGTGTGTACTAATGTATGGTGTGTTATGGCTTTTTTTAATTAAGATATAAGATGCTTCAGTGATGTGTATATATATGAATTAGGTTTATACATCAAGTTTTGTATTTGTTTTGAATTATTTATGAAAAGAATCGTTGTGAGTAAGATCCTTATATAGTTTCATATAATGATTGATGTGCCTTAGAACTAATGTTGACATTTGATTGAATTCCACCTTTTGCTTTCAGCTCTTAGGAAGACCATGCTTCGGGCCCACAGACAAGCTTGGGCCTGGATGGATGAGTGGTGGGGGCTAACCATAGAGGATATACGTAACATTGAAAAGGAGACCCAGGATCTTCTTGCTAAAAAATATGGTGCAGGGGAAGATGAAGAGGGTGAGGAGGAGGAAGGTGACAGAGGAAATGTTACGCCAGAAGTTAACGCAGACTTGCCTCAGAGCCCTAGTGTTTCGTCTGATAGAACCCCTAATCTAGAACAGCTGAGTCAAAGCGATTCCTTTAGGACTAGCAATGATTTAGGTGAGCGTCATTTATACGAGGATGAGGAGGGAGTGGTAAAGGGAGGAATGAAGAATATAAACAATAATAATAATAATATGGATGGAAATGACAGTAGAAGATTTTCGGGTACGAGCCCCAAGCTCAGAAGAAGGGAGCTGAACGTAAGCATGGACAGTGTTCTTACCGATGAAACCAGAAAGAGAGGGTCTTGGTCAAGAAGTGGATCTAGAAACACATTAAATTCCCAGAACCAAGGTAAGCTTGAAAAATACAATTGGTCACTTTGTGTAACTGCATTGAAGATTTGTAATGAAAATTTATACATGTGATGCATATCTTTTTTTTTTTTTTGCTTGTTCTAAAATGACGTCATTTTTTACAGCAAACTGGAGAATGGAGAGTATTAGAAGGGACTCAGACTCTTCAGGAAGTGATGAAGAGTTCTTTGACTGCCAAGGTGAGTTTTTTATGCTTGATTTTTGTGATAGATTAATATCCAGCATACCTATATTTATTTGTACCATTCTGGGTGTTGTGCATACAAGTATAAATATCAATGGGAGTGACTAAAGACATGTGGATATGCATGGTTGTAGAGTTGTAGCACAATTGTTGAAGAATATGAAGATTGATACAGCTATGCTTTGATCACTTCTGCAGGAATAGACACACGGTTTAACTGTTTTCTGAAATATGATCACAAAATTAGGAGCCACAGGTTGTGTGCTTTTGTGTTTTTCTTTCTTTCTCTTTTGGTCTTATATACGCTCCCTTAATTTTTTATGCATTTATTTTTTTGGGGGGAGGGAGGGGGTTACAGATTGAATGATTTTCAGAATGTAAAGGATGGTACAATCTAAAGGAATTTATATCCAGTATAAACTATAAACATTTGACCATGTCTTTGTTTCATCTTTAGACCAAGTTTGTAAAGTGGAAAATGTAAAATGTTTAAGAAATACTCAGAGTATATATATATGAAAAGATTTTGTGAATTGAGGTCCTTGCCACTATGATTTCTAAGGCAATATAGGTAATGTTTTAAGATTTTTTACACATGATCTAAAGATATTCACAGATATTTAATTTTTCAATAACCTCTGTGTGTTGTGTGGGGGGGCAGTTGTGTGTGTTTGTGTATATGTTTGTGTTTGTGGGAGCAGGTGTGTGTGGGTTTCTATTTGTTGTAATCTTTTGAATATATAAGATTAAGAATAGATAGCTAAGAAACGGCATTTACGTGATATATTTTGTTAAAGGAAGATAAAAGTTTTCAAGCCCAACAAAGATACTTTTTGTGAATATTAAGGATCTTTTAAGTTTTTAAAAAAAAAGATATTGTAACACTAGGAATGTCTCTTTGATAACATGTAGGAGAGAAAACCGTCATTTCTAGACTGTATTGTTCCAAACTTTTGAATTAGTGACATTTGCCTGTAATGACATGTCTCTTTAGTAACTTTTCTTTCCTTGTCATTTAGAGTGTAGTTCTCATTCACTAGAAACAGTTGAAGATGAAAGGTCATATTTAGTGCCTCCCAGAGAGAATGCATCCCACCAGAACTTCCTATATTGGTGTTTTAGGAGCAAAGGATGTGTGTAGGTTTTATCAAAACCACCTCATGGTTCCTTCACAAAACTTTCTTTTCTACATTTCTCTCTCTTCTGTTAAAATGTATGCCAATACTTTTTTTTTTACTTGTTCATTATTTTCCGTTGTGGGTTTCCCATTAAATGATGTGAGATCTGTTTGTTATAGAGAGGGCATTGGTGATTTGCATTAAAAGAAAGGTTTTTCTTAAAGGATATCTATTTAATTTTTTTCATTTTTGAAGGAAGTTTTTGCTATAAGAGTATCTTATGAAAATCTTTTTATGAACTGTTTTGTGTCATTTTTATGAATGGATAGTTGTGTTTATATGGGAAATATTTATTTATATATACATTTTTTTATATAAGCTTTCCTATGATTTCTACATGCATGTTTTTTTCCATGGCACAAGTAATGTGAGTTTATCTTCTTTTTCTTCTACTCATTCTTCTCTTCCATGTTGTATTTCTTCTCCTTCTCCTCCTGCTCCTCCACATCATCATTATTATCATTATTGTTATCATTATTATTATTATTATTATTATTATTATTATTATTATTATTATTATTTTTGTTACCATCATCATCATTATTG